CTGATCATGTGGTTTGAGGCTCAGATCCAGCAGCTTGAGAAATAGGCCAGGTGTGTACATATACATGCCCAGAATCCTGAAAGGGAGAAATGGAGGAGAAGCGATTGTGGCATGACCATGTCCTATGGGAGTGCTTCCTCACTTTTCTGCTCCTTCTCCCCAGCAAGTGCATGAACACTCAGGAAAATTTTGAAAAAGAAAAAGAAAAGATATGCAAAGAAACAGATACGTATGACCCATTCAATGAAACATACTAAATGGACAGCAATTATACCTAAAAATGCCCAGACTTTTAACTTACTACAAAAATAAACACAAAACATCAAAAATGTTTTAAAAGCTAAAGGAGGGACTGATGTAAACATTACACCATCTGTGTAATGGATGGACTGGACTTCCACATAGTTGACCATGGTTCGAGTCCCCATACCTAGCAGCTTGAAACTCACTCTGGGCATGTGTGCATGCCCAAGATCCTGAGAGGAGAATGGAGGGGAAGGGATCATAGCATGGCCATTCACCCTGGGGGTTGATTTCTTGCTGTTTGTCTCTCTGTCTCTCCAGCAAATGCACATACCTAATAGCAAAAACTCTCAAAAAAAAATAGCTAAAGAAAGCCATAGACAAATAGAAGGACATAATGTACAAAAAAATGAGAAGATAAATAAAAATATATAAATTAAAAAGAAACTTGGAGTTCAGAAGTCTAAGAAATAAAAAGTATACTAGAGAGTTTCAAAAGAAGATTGAGCAGGCATAAGAAGGAATCAGCAGGACCAGCACATGTAGTAATGGTTACGTCACTGGACTCCTACATAGTTGACCACAGTTAGAGTTCCAAACCTGGTAACTTAAAACTTGCTCAGGGCACATGTCATGCATGGCTGAAATCCTGAGAAGAGAATGGAGGAAAAGCAATGGTGGCATGGCTATCCCTCTGGGGATGTGAATTCTGGCTTTCTGTCTCTGTCTCTCTGGCAAGCACACATACTCAATAGCAAAAATCTCTCTAAAAAATAAACAATTTTTTTTTTAAAAAAAAGGACTTACCAAACTTAAAGATAGGACAATTGAAATGGTCATGTCTGAGGAAAGAAAGAGCATAGACTAAGTGAACAGACACTAGGGGACCTCTGGAACACCATCAAATAGACTAACATATACACCGTGAGAATCCCAGAAAGAGAAGAGGAAGATAGAGACAAAACTCTTTGAAGAAATAAGAGCTGAACCCTCTACACATTTGATGAAATACTTGAATTTACACTTCCAAGATGCCCAAAGAATTTCAAGTAGAAAAATTCAGAGTACATACACTAAGAAACATTACAGTCAAAACTGTTAAAAGCAAAAGATTTCAAGGAATCTTGAAAGTAGCAGAAGAGAAGTGAATCATCATATGCAAAGGATACTGTATAACATTATCAGTGAATTTCTCATCAGAAACCTTGGAAGCTAGCTGGTAGTGATGTATTTAAAACACTGATAACTAGATATGAAAAAGGAAATAAAAAGGGAATTAAATCATTTCACTACAAAAAATTAAACACAAAAGAAGGAGTAATGGTGGAAAGAATGATAAAATAAATAAATAAATAAATTGGAGCTGATAGCAGTGCAGTAGTAAACTCCATTGATCTATGGGGCTGACCCACATAGAAAGTTTCTGGGCTCTTGTCCAGAGATCTCCCTGAGGTACACTGGGCACTAGCATCTCCACAATCTGTTGGCAGATAAAATTCAAGGTGATTACAACATCAAGACCCTATTTGAAATGCTATCTCTCCATCTCTCTCTCTGTTTCTGAATCGTGGGAGAAATAAATTTAAATTCTTTTTTAAAAATTGTAAGGCATATAGAAAAAAATAGCAAAATGACAGAAGTTGGTCCTCTTTATCAGTATTTACTTTAAGGGGATATCTACTAAAATCTCCAATCAAAAGAAAAAGATTAGCTTAAATTTTTTTTTTTGAGGTTTTTGCTATAGGGCTTGTGTACTCGCTGGAGAGACAGAGAGACAGAAAGTAAGAAATCACCTTCCCCCTAGGGAGGATGGCCACGCCGCAATCCCTTTTCCTCCATTCTCCTCTCAGGATCTTGGGCACACACACACACGCATGCCCGGCATGAGTTTAAGCCACCAGGTCCAGAACTCGCACCGCGGTCAACTACATGGGAGTCCAGCAATATAGCCATTACACTAACTGCTGGTCCCCCAATTTTTTAAAAAAATCATGTTCCAATTATATCCTAGGTACAAGAAATTCACATGAGATCCAAAGGCACAAATAGATTGAAAGGGAAATAATGAAAAAAATATTCCTTCCAAATGTGACTAAAAGAGAGCTTTGAGGCTAGGCTAATGTTAGATAAAATAGACTTTAAATAGGGGTTGGCAGGTGGCATGGTGGTTAAGGATGCTGGACTCCCACATGGCCAACTATGGTTTGAATCCTGTGCCTGGTGACTTGCTTTCTCACTTTTCCTCTTTCTCTCTCTGTCCCTCTCTGGTCAAAATAAATAAAATAATTATTTAAAACATAGACTTTAAATAATATAATAAGAAAATTAAAAAGAAAGAAGGGTTGATATTAAGCATCAATAAAAATTTCAATAGACTAACCTAAGTGAGTAGGACACTGACTGCAAAAGATTCCAGTCAATCCTGTGGGGTGCTAGTAACACACTATATCTTAATTGTGATGGTAGCCTAATATAAGTCATGAAAACTTATTAAATGGAACGTTAAAAATGAGTGCTTTTAATTGTTTGTAAATTTTATTTTTATAAAGTTGATATAAAAAAAGAAAAAAAACTCTTCAATCACAGGACCTATATTGATATTTGGGGCTGGGGGCTAGCAGATGGCATAATGGTTATGACTGACCATGGTTCAAGTCCTGGACTCAGTGGCATGAAACACACTGGTCGCATGTGCATGGGTGCCCAAGATCCCAGGAGGAGAAGGGATTGTGGCATGGAGGGGGTGATTTCTCCTTTTCCCTCTCCCTCTCTCTGTCTTTATGGAGAGTGCACATACACTAAGAAAAAAAAAAAAGATATTTGGGGCTTATGGAGCAGGCTCTGGGGAAATACTGAGTTAGAATTTTCATATTATGTGATACTAGAGAAGTTATTTAACCTCTTTGTGCTTTAGTTCCCTCATATGTAAAATACATCTGTTATAATAGTTTTAAAATTCGGTAAACTGGTACTCAGTGATTATAACAATGACTGACATAGTAAACATACAGTAAGTATAAGCTATAATGATTATTATAAGTAATATTCAGTATCCCTGTTAGTGTTCTTTCTGCTACTTCCTATCTGGTGAGACAAGTGTCTCACATATTTTTATGACTCAAGAATAGTCCCTGCCTTATGTCAGAGTAATATGGGTTCCCACTAAGTCTGATATTTCATACATTTTTTCACAGAGAGATAAGGAGCTATGTCTAAACTGAGATAACTGAAGATAGCATATAAGGCAAAAAAGGAAAGCATGCTTGTCTCATAGGGTAGGGTGAACTTCAATTTTAAGCTTATCTCTCATAATCTTTTAAATTTAGACATTTTTTTTGTTCAGCATCTGAGCATATTGCTCTGCTCACTGGTAGACCAGAAGCTACTTAAGAGTGTCCTACAAGGAATCCATTGTCATAACAACATTAAACGCACCTCATTGGATGTTGTCCAGCACTTGCTCCCAAAGGATGCAAGAGTCACAGAGATGCTGAGCTCTATTATGCTGATGATCAGTAAGACTGACAAAATTCCCTGCATACAATGAGGAGAAATAAATTACATTTGGAATAAAAACTGTATCACTTAAGCTATAAACCAAAAGCCTCTTACACTCTATGACCAATGATAAGAAAACTCATATTTTAGATGGTTCTGTAGTCATCAGAATTGCACCATTTTCATCTTGTCATTTTGATAAGGCAGGGGTGACAAACTCTCATGTCTATAGGAACCAGGAAACTACTTTGAGTGATACAGGATGAGAGGTCATTCATTACTCAATTCCAGCCTACTGTTGCTATGTGGAAATTTGGGCACCATGTCTGGTTTAGTCAGTTAGTTTGTTCCTTTGTTATTTCTGTAAAACTGAATACAGATTTTTTTTTCTTTCTTTTTTTTTTGGAGAAGTTTTTGCTAGAGGGCGCATGCACTTGCCAGAAAGACAGAGACAGAGAGACAAAAAGTGAGAAATCACTCCCCAGGGGGGATGACCACACCACAATTCTCCTCTTGGTATCTTGGCCCTCACGCACATGTGACTGGCATGAGTTTAAGCCACCGGGTCTGGGACTCGAACCGCAGCCGACTACATGGGAGTCCAGCGACATAGCCATTATGCTAACTGCTGGTCCCGATACAGATATTTTTGAGGTGAAATTTTCCAGTTATTTATTCACCACAAGCTGAATATAGCCCCAGGTTGCCATTTTGCACACTGCACATTAAGATAATGTTTAGATTGAGACTCTCATGGTACAGTATGGTATCCAAAAAAGCTTAAACTCTAGAGACAGAAGTGCTGTGTAAAATTGAGTCCAAGGTCACACTTAACTGTGAAGCTTTATTGTGCAAAGATGTTACTATATGCAATTTATTTGCTACAGTAGAACAAAGTAGACCTGGTTTTAGTTTTTATGGCACTTACATCAAAGCAAGAAGGCAGACAGTAACATACAATTACACACACACATATAAAATATATATATGTATATATATGCTCAGTCAGGTGGGAGTCCAGTGCCTTAACCACCATGCCACCTGATGGCCCCTATCACCATGCCACCTGATGGCCTCTATCTGTAGATTTAACCTTTTCAGAGTATAATTTCTTTCTAATAGAAAGTAATGGGCTCTTGTCCATTAAAAAGATGGTCAGAATTATCATGTTGTATTATACTCTTTTTTCCTTTTAAAAAGAACTATTTATTCATTTAATTCTATTTGTTATTATTATTTTTCAATTTGACCAGAGAGAGATAGACAGAGAGAAAGGGGAAAAAAGCAAGCCACCAGGTCTGGGGCTCGAGCCCTGGTCATCCATGCGGGAAACTAGTACCCCTAATCAGCATGCCACCTGCTGGCCCCATGTTGTACTATATTTTTGATCCAATAAGGACAGGATTTTACCTCTTATTTGTTTCCTGACTTTTCTTGTAATTTAATAGGAGTCTAATTCTCCAGTTTATCTCAGAAGACATGGCAGACCCTAGGCCCACTGCAAGGGGTAGAGAATTAAATAGGTATCTGGTAAATGATAGCTCTTTTCTCTTTGCTTCTTTATCATGAGAGACAATTTCCCACAATTTCACTTCACTTGCACTATAACAGGTTTAGATCTTAAAATACTAGGACCCAAGCCTTCAAGGTGCAATTGGTAGAAATAGAATGAAACTCCAGGACTTGTCTATGGAATTAGAAAGAAAGGCTTATTGGAATAATTGACATGTTTAAGAATAATGTCATTGATTTCTGATAAGCAATTGATTACACCTACCATTTTCTGCTTGATGAATCAAATTACTAAAATTATATAAAATGATTTCTGTCCTAAAATTGTTAAAATACTTCACTTTATTAAGTGGCTTAACCACCTATTCCCACTATATTTTGTTTTTTAGTGTTAATTGAACAAACTTTTTTTTTTGGAGCAGTTTTTCGCTACAGGTCACGTGCGCTCACCAGACAGACAGAGAGAGACATAGAGACAGAAAGCGAGAAATCACCCCCCCAGGGGGGATGGTCACGCTGCAATCCCTTCTCCTCCATTCTCCTCTCGGGATCTTGGGCACGCACGCACACGCGCCCGGCCTGAGTTTTAAGCCACCAGGTCCGGGACACGAACCGCGGTCGACTACGTGGGAGTCCAGCAACATAGCCATTACGCTAACTGCTGGTTCCCAACAAACTTTTTACATCGTTTTGTTCCTCATTAATGCTGAAAAGGTAACATTTAATCTAATCCATGTCAATAACAGTGATAATTAAGACTATTGACTATTTACACCATGACAGGTACTTTTTTTTAAAATAATTATTATATTTAACTTTATTTATTTATTTTAATTTGACCAGAGAGGGATAGAAAGAGAGAGAAAGAGAGAGCAAGCCACCAGGTCCAGGACTCAACCCATGCTTGGTTATGTGGGAGTTCAGAGCCCTTAACCACCACACCACCTGCTAGCCCCCTTGTTTTAATAAATCCTCATGACAACTGAATGGGGTAGGTATTTTTAATATCTTCATTCTCCATATGAAGAAAACTGAAGCTTAGTGAGGATATCATGTTAGGTCAAGGTCAAGCTTATACACGACAAAGCCAATATTCAGCTCTTGCTCGACCATAAGGCTTCTGAATCATCCTAACCATCATCCCACAATATGCTGCTTAACTGTCAATTCCAATGCTGACACAACTTCAGTTACTAGAACAAAAATCATTGCATCATGGACACAGTTAGATATGATTAGACAGATTTATGGTACAAAAAAAGACCACTTACAATGAAAAGCGCTCTTCCCAAAACACATAGTCCATTGAAAGAAGGTATCTGGCAGTACGGGTATTCATGTCTGTAGCTGATAATCGTGAGAGTAATCCCAGCTATTGCAACCAAGGAACTGATAACATTCATGAGTATGACAGCTTGTCCCTGGAAAATAGTTTTGTTTTGTTTTTTTGTTTGCTTGTTTGTTTTTAAGGAAAAAAAAAAGAAAATGAAAACCAAACCAAATAAAAATCCTTTTAAAAATTCCTAGTGCTTTTATCTCTCTAGATACCTATCTCAGGGATGAATTGCACTATCACGTCAGTATGATTGTAAGACTTAGTAAGTTAAATCCTGACCCCTCAAAGTCAGATGAAGATAAACCAAATTTTATAATGGGAAAGGATACTTTCTTGTTAATACTAAGGGAAATGTTTATTTTATTCCAGCACACCATCTTTCATGGTGTTAGAAAATATCTTGGCTTGGAAATGAAACATAATTTTGAGTCCTGGTGTCACTAGGACTTTGTACAAATTATCTTGATCTTTGGAATCTCAATTTCTATCTTGGAGAATGAAAATAACATCACCTAGCTTTAAAATAGTTTCCATTTTTTTTCATGTTTTTCATATACATCTATTGTTTACCAAATAAGTAGCAGACATTGCATTAGGCTCTGGACACACAAAGATTAACAAGAGAGATGACATCCTGTCATCATGTGGCTCTGGTCATTTTCTAGTAGGATTCAAACAATAATAAACAAACATACGTAAAAAGGTAACACATTTGGATCAGAGTTTAAAGGTGTTCTTTCTTGATCTCAGTGTTCCAGAATGGAAGACATAAAACGTTCAAGTGACCTCACCCGATTCCTTCCATTCATTCTTTTCATTCATCCATTTCATTTCTCATGGGCAAGGTAAGTATGTCTGAGTTCCTTCAAAGGAGAGGGAGCATCTTACTCACTTTTCATACCCACTCCCAGCACTGATACTGCTCTTTTAAAGGAAAAACAAAAAAACTTCACATCTCCATTCAGCAGATATTTACTGCCTTCATTGATTGTGTCATGTTGGTTGTGGTGGGAAAATGCCATGATCCATTTACACAGCCTGTCCTTGAAGGAGCAGTTTGTAGTATAGTGTGGCCAACCATGAATTATACTTAGGACTTAACATTTACCTCAAACCCATATTTTTATTGCAAACAGACATTTTAGCAGAAAATGCACAGAGGCATACTAATATGCCATCTTTGCCAATCTTCAGTTCTTGGTTCTCTCAAGGCTCTCTTCAGGCTCCCATAAGACATTTTACCAACTAACATTTCAAGATATGCAATCCCTCATGAGAACTGTGCCTTACAAAGAACATGCCTAGCCTTAGTCTCATCTAATCCTCATTAGAGTGCCTAAATGTAGGCAGCACACTTGGTTTTACCCGTTTTACAGATGAATGGGGTTCAAGGATTAAGTGATCATGAGAAATCCCATTGTTGGTGAAAGAAGGGGTGAAAATTCAGGTTTCTAATGCCCAGTTCTGTGTTTCTGTCCCCATGCCATCCTGCCTGCTGCCATTTGCATAGTTCTCAGTGTGTTAGGGTAGGTCCACCTTAATCTTAGGATAAATTTCCCAGCTCTGAAAATAAGTCAATACCCAGAGATCAGCATTTGAGCTGATCTGCATTGTGTGAATTTATTTCCACAGTTATAAATAGGGACATTCATCCCACCAGCATTTCTTTAAAGTTTGTAACTATCCCTAGAGGAAATTGGCAAAAGACCATAAGAACAGAGTCGAATTGACTTTGAGAGAAGTTCCACATCTCCGGGACCTTAAATAAGATCAGAGTGGTTAGAAGGGAATATGAGCATTTCGAAGTATCGTCATGGCTTTTATAAGTAAAATCTTATAAAACCCTCAAAATAACCCTTATACGTGGGTTCATTTCCCTTCAAGCCTTGATTCAACCCTGAAATCATCCAGCATCAATGCCCACAGTCTTTCCTCAAGACCTTCAGAAGGCTCCAAAAAAAGCCTCTGTTGGTAGTGGAGATGAGGTTGGGGTTGGGAGGCAGGAATTTCTGGAATCCAGGAATTGGTTTTGGGTAGGAAGGTCTCTCGCCCTTACTGATACTGACATTTTGAGTCAGATACATTTTGATTGTTGTGGAAGGATGTCCGGTGTCAGAAGCATTCCTGGCTTCTACCCATTAGATGCCCACAGCATTGTGGACAGAAGTCTGACTGCTTTTTCCTATTTTTTCCAAAATCCTTTCAGGGAGCTTAGAGGAAGTCATGCCCACGAATGTTAACACACCATTTTGACCCATTGGTAACAGGATTCTTCCTACATCCTGACCCTGGTGTAATACTGGAGAATCTTTGTGATGTATATTAAGCCTCTTTATTGCTGTTAAAGTACATTCCTTTCTGATCTCAGCAAACTTCCTTTTCCAATCACTACCCTAAAAACCGTAAAACCCACCTATAACTTACAAACCCTCACTTCCATATGTCCCACCTTTCGGGGTCAGACCAATGGAAAAACTTTTTACTAAATTCCAAACTCCATCTCTCACTCTCAAAATTAAGTAAAAGGAACCCCTGTACCTGATCACTCCAAGAGAAAGCCATGTTTTGCCTTCTCTCCAGCCTAGGTCTCTCCTTCTGCTTAGAAATAAACCGCATTAATTATTATTTTTACAGAGTTGGTTATTTTCTGTCGACAGCATCCTCCACTCAGTTGTGACAACCCAAAATGTCTTTAGTCAATATCAAATATTCCACAGGAGAATTCGTATTTCCCAATTAAGGACTTTTATGTTATGGGATGTAGAATTATTTCTAATAAGCAACTCTTCCAGTTTGCTTGACCAGGGAAATGGGAACCAGTGTAAATATGTAGGATTAATGGTGGCTAACAGTGGCATTGACAAATTGGAATGATCCAGGCTGCAAATTTGATGTATAAAGATTTTCCCAGGAAATATCTTATTACTAAAGGCTATATACACAAATATGATGCAAAGCAAATAGAAGATGTTAAATTACACGGAAGTCATGAAAGTGACTTACCAGACTTTTCATTGATTTCTTGTCTTTTCCTGTAACACACCCTGTAAGAATGAACTGTTAAAAAGACAAGAGACAAAAGTTAACAGGTGATGTGTCTTGACCACGTTATAATGCAATATCTTTTGGATTTGCAAACCGTCTATCTGTGAATTTTCCAGACCTGATCTTTCAACCTGGGAGGAGGGAGCTGAACTTGCTCAGCACCAATCAGGGCCTTTCTGCCAGGGTCAGCTGAGAGAGGAAGACCCTTACTGAAGACTCAAAAAATAGAACCCAAATGTTTGTACCAGCTGAGCTCCAAAGGGAAAGTGATTCTGGAGCTCTATGTCTGGAAGAGAGGTGGAGGAGCCTATGTCTGACCTGATATGTACCCAGGGAGGATCCCTCTAAAGGGTGGTATGAAGTGAAGCCTACTGTAGTTAACTTAGCCCCTCCTTTTTTAGGCACATAAACTAGGGGCCTTCCTATCTCAGCTGACCCTGACAGAAAGCCCCTGGTTGGTGCTGAGCAAGGTCAGCTCCCTCCTCCCTACTGCTCCAGTAGAAAGACTAGGTGTAGAAATTTCAGATAGAGGGTTTGCAAATCCAAAGGCTATTGCATTGTAATGTGGTAAAAACATATCACCTGTTAACTTAAAAAAAAATAAATAAAGTACTAGTGGGTTCCTCTTGATCTGGTGTAGAAGTCTGATGTCCTTAACAAGACCGTAGGGCTGGCTTCGCTGAGTTCCAGCCTATATCTGTGACCTCATTTTATGCCACAACCGTAGACTCATTGGTCTTTTTTGGTTGCTTTTTCTCACATCAAGCCTTAGGGAATGCTTTCCTTCCTCCTAGCTCAGTGAGTACCTATGTGCAAATCACTCCCCTGACCTCCGGGACCAGTTTAGTTCTTGAAACTCTCGTGTGACACCTAGAACCCCTCTCTCAGAGCACTTAGCACACGTATAATAACATCCATGGAGTTACGTCTTACCTTTTCATTTCTAGCTTCTCTGTTAGACAATAAACTGCCTAATTCTTAAAAAGAAAATTCCACTATTTTTCTCAAAGAGGATTTTGTTTATCTGTACTCCCAGCACCCAAGGTCCCACCAAAGATATAGCATGTCCTCAGTAAATATTTTTTCAGTGAAGAGTGGAGTTTTAAAAAGTAGCAGACCAGAACCTCATGATAATTCAGTTACACTGAGAAAATCATGCTGTGAGATGGGGACGTCGGGAGTTGGTCTGTTTGAATTTCTACCGTGCGGCATGTGTAGTCTGAAAATCATGTTCAGCTTTACATCATTTATATCGGGCAAGTAAAAACACTACGTCATTTTTGAAATGCAAATGATAGAAGAGGTATGGAATATTCACATTTATCCCATGGTGGTGTGGGCTTTTTTTTTTTTTTTTCTTTTTTTGGAGAGATTTTTTTTTTTTTCCCTTTAGGGGGGGTGGTGCTGCCAGGCACAGTGGGCTTTTTTTTTTTTTTTCTTTTTTTGGGAGATTTTTTTTTTTTTTCCCTATAGGGCGCGTGTGCTTGCCAGACAGACAGAGAGAGACAGAGAGACAGAAAGTGAGAAATCACCCCCCAGGGGGATGGCCATGCCGCAATCCCTTCTCCTCTGTTCTCTCAGGATCTTGGGCACGCACACACATGCGCCTGGTGTGAGTTTAAGCCACCGGGTCCAGGACTTGAACTGCAGTCGACTGCATGGGAGTCTAGCGACATAGCCATTATGCTAACTGCTGGTCCCAAGGTAGTATGGGCTTTTAATAGAGACAGTAGTTTCATTTTTTCTTTTTCTTCATTTCATCTAGTTGTTCATTGGCTGATTCATTCATTCACTCATATATACTATGCCTCAAGCATGAGTCTATGTTCTGAGAATATAACAGCTACTAAATCAGACTATATGCTTGCTGTCTTAAGGGTGTATGTGCTAGTACAGAAAGCTATTTAATTTACCCTTAAATATTATGATATAAGATAAAGGACTGAGACTGTGGGGACTGGATGAAAATAACATTGTATTAAGCATATTACTTGTCTCTTATTTCCTAGAAGAGTGATACTCATAAAATGGTCTCGGGAACTAAGAATGGAATTAAACGCTAATGATCCTAAAATTCTCCTTATGCGATGAGAGTCTGTGATTCTGTGAGCACCCATTGGGCATGTTTAAACTCTCACTTACTCTCAAACTGGTCTCTTATTTGTAAAGGAGAAAGTAGGATATTTGCCTGTCTACTCACTCATATTGGTCGTGAGAAACAAGTGATTTATTATACACACAAGGACTTTGAAATCTGTTAAGCATTGGGTACCTCGGTTAATAATTGCTATCATGATGGCGACAGAGCCACCAAATAGAATCCATCTTTTACCATGGAGCAGTCTGCATTTTTGGTCCCCTGTGGCCTATATTTATGGAATTCATTATCTTAGGACTTGATGCAGTTCAAATCATTCTTTACTGTGATTTCTCACAAATTTCTAACTGGCAATACTCACAATAAGTGCTCCCCAGAATGGATATCCTGAGAGAAGAACGAGCGGAAAGTTTTGGGAGAAACTGATGTAATTGAACACAAATATGATCCCAAGGCTCACAATGATTACAGCAAGCAGGATCTGGACAGCCTGAGAGGAGAGAAATAGACAAATGAGGTTACACATGCCCCAGCCCCACTGGGCTGCCCCAGGTCCCTTGGGCCTGCCTTGATGCCGTGGCCTGCTTTCTCCTGCATCTGAGTGCCTCCCTCTCCCATTTGCCAACCACTCAGATGGTGAGTACGCTGAGATCCAGTGTCTTTTCTTCTGTAGTGCTTGCCTAGCTTCTTTGGGTTGGAATCCTTCACTCTTGACCTTTATTACTTTCTATTCTCTGGTATCCCTGGTGTTACCAATCTATTGTGCATTAGACAGATTTGAGCATTCATTCATCTGACTATCCCTTCATTGCAAGCTTCTGGAAGACAGGAACGATAAATCAATCACCTTCTTATTTTTTTCCCTTCTACAGCATGAGTGTACAACCATAATCCGTACTGTCCCCAGCCACATTTTCCTAAGTGAATATATGCTTTTGGAATTGAAGCTTATCTAGTTCTCTAATCATGTATGTGGTTTGTTGACATACAGTGAGGAAGTTGGGTAAGATTGGTCCTCAACTCTCCATCTAAGTTTTTGCCTGGAGATAAGAATAACCCAGTGGGCCTGTCAGTTTGTCCAGAGTCTGCAAAGAGATGAATATCACAGAGTCCTAGCAGGAGCAGAGGCTCTTCTTGGGGCAACACTTCTCTAGCATTGCAGGTTTTGTCTCTAGGCCACATTTCTCTGGTAACACACCACTGTTATACTAAGGAGAGGTGATGTATACAACTCTCCCCTAAGTATTTTTATTTTGAAAATGTTTCTTGTATATGTCTCCCTTATGGTTCACTGTGGAACACTGAATATGGTTTTGAAAGAACTCATGATGTCTTCAATACACAGAGAGGAAGTTTAACCTCTCCTGTAATGGTTTTCAGTTCCAAGGAAGTTGTCAAAACACCCTGAGGTCACTTCTTCAATAAGATATTTGGAAAAATTACAGTAGTTTCTTGCTTTTTTCTACTAAAATTTGAAAAAAACAGTACTAATTCTCACAAAAGAGCTCCAGAATATTCACAGAACTAGGGGAGTTATTGATTGAGGTTAAATGTTCTATTTCTCAGAGTTGGATAAATCCCCCAAAGCCTTTCTAAGACCTGAGGCAAACTTTTTTTTAACAGAAATGCTATTTCTCTTGTTTATAAAAATCTTAGGAAAATGGTATTATTGGTTACATATTGACTCTTCTACTGGTGATCCAATTCTTCCTACAAGCAAATGACCTAGCAGGACTTAAAATCAATCAACAAAGATACATTGTAGGTAAAAGGTGATAGGAGGGGAGTGGAATCAACCTCCCTCCTGAAAATCATTGTACAGTGTTATCTCTGCAGACATACACAGAAAGATAACTTTTCTCCCCTCCAGGAAGACCCACAATTGGAAACTTACCCCCAGGATTTCTGGCTCCCCCTTCAGAAAATCCAGCAGAGTACTATGAGGTCTGTAGGGACATTAGGGAAATGCGGCCAGTACAGTTTCCTTTGGTTGTATAGTGATGGCATTGGTCCCTCGTTTTTCTCGGGAAGGTAACTCCATGACTTAATGGCAGAACTTTATTAAGAGAATGGGTGAGTGAGTGGACATTACAGTCAAGACATGGTCTCCTTCCCCACAGGTGTCACATGTTTCCTTAGCAATGGGCCCTTCGTGGTTCCTTTGCTCAGGCCTAGAACCACAGAGTCGCTGAGTCATTGAGTCATAGAGTCTTAGAATTCCAGAACACAGTCAGCCCTCCGCCTTGCTGGTGAAGGTCGTAGTTATTCAGAAGACTTACTTTCTTGTCAATCTGTTTATAAACATATTGTAAATACAAAATAAATAGAAAGTACATGAAAAAAAAAAAAACTTCTGTACCTATTGTTGTGGGATATAAAGGGCCAGTATTGTTCAGAATATTACAGAATATTCACTATGTTCTAGACACTGTAGAAGGTATTTGGTTTGTCAGAACATGCGTTAACATTCATTCTTTTTAACAAACCAAAAATGCTGAAACTGAAGAACAGAAAAGTCAATTGCCAAAGGTCACATACTAAGGAACAGAGGAAGGAGGCAAGCACACTGGTCTCTTTCCCAAATCTGGGTTACGTTCAGCCATGCTTTTAACTTCCTTCACAAGGTGTTACCCACTTTTAGTTCATTAATTTTATAACTTACTATTTATCCATATTCCTTTGTAGTAAAAAAAGTAGTTAGTGGTGAATATCTTTTTTTCTATTTTTGTCTAAGTTTAATTAAGTATACACACATGTGCATGCACACACACACACATACGGTTGTTGGAAAAGTCATGACATATTTTTTCCTTTTTTTAAAGAGATTTTTGCTTTAGGGTGTGTGTGCTCACTGGAGAGACAGAGACAGAGACAGAGACAGAGAGACAGAATGCAAGAAATTATCCCCCTGGGGGAATGGCCACACCACAATCTTTTCTCTTTCCTTCTCCTCTTGGAATCTTGAGTGTGCATGCAGACACACACACACACACACACACACACACACACACAGGCCCAGTGTGAGTTTTAAGCTACCAGGTCTAGGACTCAAACTGTGGTCGACTATGTGGGAGTCCAGCAATGTAACCATTATACCATCTGCTGGTCCCTATGACATATTTTCTATGTTTTTCTATGTAAAAATGCATCATGACTTTTCCAATGATCCAATATATATTTGTGATGTACAGTGTGATGTTTTGAAATACATATGAATTGTGAAATGATTACCATCATGTCATGTAGTTATCCTTTTTCTACTTTTCTGCTGAGAAAATTTCAGATATACTGGCTTCATATTTTTGAGTTAAAAAAATCAGCAGTAAAGAAATATAGGATTGGGGACCAGCAGGTGGCGTGGTGGTTAAGGTGCTAGACACTCCCACATGACCAACCACGGTTCAAGTACTGGACCTGGTGGCTTGCTTTCTCACTTTCCTCTCTCTCTCTTTCTCTCTGGTCAAATTAAAGTAATGAATGAATGAATGAATAAAATTGAATAAAATAATTCTTTTTTAAAAAAAGAAATGTAGGATAAGACGTAATTGCCATTTTAATAGAGGATATTTTAGTTCTCAGAAAGAGAAGCAAACTAATTCTGTTCAAGTTCTCCCTGGTTTAAACTATACAAGTGCTGATAAAAACAACTTAAAAAGCCTTTTGGCGTTTTGCCATGTTAACCATTTATATTCTTATATTTGTTATGATTTTAAGTATTAAATCATGAAGGTAAATGGTTTTATGAAACTGGAAATTTTCTCTCTGTACATGTGTATGTGCATATATATATAATCCTGAGTATTTTGTAGTTTGAGGCAAACATGGAAAATGGGTTTTCACCCTCAGAACTGTTGGCATTTGGGGCCCAAAAATTCTTTCCTGTAGGGAGTCATTCTGTGTATTATCAGCATCTCTGGCCTCTGCCTTTTGGATGCTATCAACATATCCCCATTGGTGACAACCAAAAATTGCCTCCTGATTCTGCCAAATGTCCCCGGAGGACAAAAATCACCACCAAATTGACAACCAGGGTTGTATACATAATTGCAGATCTTCTCTACAAAGTTTTTGGTGATGGAAAACCACTTTATTTCCCACAACTGAATTTCCAAGAAGGTAATTATTTCTTAGTACCGCACATAACTGCCAATGTTTATTCAGGATTTTTTCCTTGTCTGTTAATAGCATTTTAAAAATTTAGAACAATTGTACAGCATGTGAGAAACTTCTCTTGTCACATGCCTGTATTGAGGGAAAACTACACCCACTTACGAAAAATCTCAATACATATATTGTAGTAAGCTCAAAACAATGTTTTAAAAAAATAGCAATGTGAATGGCATACAAAAATTATTTCCTTATAAATTATTAACTGGAATTCTTGATCATGAAGCAGGCACAAGGGGATCCAATTTATGTAAAGTACAGGCAACTGTTTTTTTCTTTTTGTTGTTGTTGTTGTTTTTTGTTTTTGGAGAGATTTTCGCTATAGGGCGCGTGCGCTCGCCAGACAGAGAGAGACATAGAGACAGAAAGCAAGAAATCACCCCCCAGGGGGGATGGTCATGCCGAAATCCCTTCTCCTACCTTCTCCTCTTGGGATCTTGGGCACGCACGCACACGCTCCCAGCGTGAGTTTAAACCACTGGGTCCGGGACGCAAACCGCGGTTGACTACGTGGGAGTCCAGCGACATAGCCATTACGCTAACTGCTGGTTCCCAAGTACAGGCAACTGTTTAAACAGATCAAAATGTGGGACAAGTTTCTATTTAAATTCTAAGCAGAATCAATAGACCAGTATCATGTAGAAAAGCTTTGAAAATCATGCTGTGTCAATAAAAGGGAAGTACATGTGGCACTGCAGCCAAACAGTACAATGCACTTGTTTGTTACCAACCACTATGATTTTTTTGGTGACCAAAGACAGGATTTCAGATTTTTTTTTCAAACTAATATGTTAATTTATTACTTATAGACATTTCACTACACTAGACTCACATTTTGGAAAATTTGATGGGCCTTTGGGTTAACTAATGCATGTATATATATGTATGTATATATGTATATTATATACTGTATATAATCTCCTTTAAAATGATGGAAAAGAACTGTCTTCATTGCAAGAGAATTGATTTTTAGGAATGAATTACATGTATTAAATAGGAGAAGCTTACACTTTCTTAATAGGAGAAGCTTACACTTTCTTCTTTTTGGATATTTCAAAATGTATTTTATCTCTCTAACTAGGTTATAGTTCTCATGCTTCTGACTTTTGAGCTATTCAAAGATGAACCCTGTAATAGTTCAGTTTATAGACTGAGACCAGAAGGCAGGAGCAGGCTATCCCATAAAGATGTGAAATGGCAGAGTCTCCAAATGGGAAATACAAGTAGGATGACATTCTTTGAATGGAAATGGTATTTTCTCTTGCTTTCAATCTACAGAAGATTTTTCAAGTTCCATGCAATAATCCAGTGTGTATTCATTTCCTATTGCTGTATAACCAATTACCGCACATTCAGTGGTTAAAATACCTTGAGTCTGACAAGTAACATTCAGCACTTTGTATACACCAGTATTGCTCTAAATAATACAAGACATTTACTTCCTCATTAAAATATTTCTTCAGCATGTGTTTACCATGTCAAACTCTCAACAACCTTGAGGTTCAGTCATATATTTTTAAATTGCCAGAGAGCACATGCAAGAGACAGATGAGAGAGATAGAAAGACTCCCCCTCAGGGGGTTGTGCAATTCTTTTTCCTTCATTTATTTATCCCATCAGGAGTTTAGACATGCACACACATGTGCCCGGTGTGTCTCCTAAGCCTGTAGGGCCAGGATGCAAACTGTGGTCGCTCATGTGAGATCTGCCTCCAGATGTACTGTGCTTAACCACCGATACGCAGCCAGCCTGAGAATGAGTTCCATTATCATACCTGTTTTAAAGACAAGGAAACTGAAAACCACCACTACTGCTGTTAAGTAGCAGAGCTACAAATTGAACTTGGCTGAAAGTTTTGTGTTGTTGCTCTAGATCCAGGCAATAATTCAGTGCGCATTAGTTTTCTGTTGCTTCATCACCCATTACCACACATTCGGTGACTTAAAATAACACACATTGATAATAAAACCGTGTTTGCAGTTCAGGAGTTGAGGCATGACTTAGCTGGGTGCCTCTGCTCCAGGTCTCACATGACTGCAAGTAAGGTAGTGACCAGGTTATCTCTGCATCTGGAGGCTCAAGCGGGAAAATTTACTTTCAAGCACATGCAGGCTGATGGCAGGACTTATTTCCTTGTGATTGTATGACTAGGGGTCGTGGTTTTTCGTCAGATCCGACAGGATGCTCTTAGTTCCTTGTTTCCTCCAGACAGCTGCTTGCTTCAGGCAGCCAACAAGGAGAGTTTTCTACTAGATTTGGCTAAGGTGAGAGTCCTGCTTCTGCCATATGGAGAACAGACTGAATGGCAAGGGTGCCTAGTTGGTATAGGGTTGTAGTAACCCCAATGGGAAAAGATGGATTACAGCACTTGTGACGTGCTGAGAAGTGATCAGATTCTGACCCTGCTTTGGAGTCAGAATGACCAGGTTTTAACATAGATTAGATATGGTGTGTAAAAGAAATAGGGCAGGGACCAGCAGGTGGCATGGTGGTTGAGGTGTTGTATTTCCACATGGCTGACTGAGGTTCAAGTCCTGAATCTGATGGGTCAAAAATCATCCCAGCCACATGTGTGTGAGTGCCCAAAATTCTAGGAGGAGAATAGAGGAAAGGTAATTGTGGCATGGCCACCCCACCACCCCTGGGGAGTGATTTCTCACTTTTCCTCTATCTCTCCCCAGCAAGCACATGTGCCCTATGGAAAAACAAACAAACAAAGAGAGAGAGAGAGAGAGAGAGAGAAATAGAGCAGTCAAGGGTGACACCAAGATTTTTAGGAGACGACCTTTCAAAAAGAATTGGACTATGAAGGAGTGACAGCTGAGTTCAACAACTAGACAGGTATAGAGGTCATAGGCAAGTGTTTAAATTTTTTTTAAAAAAATTCAAGTATAACATTGAAACAAGAGAATGCAAATCATGAAGGTACAGCACCAGCATCCAGATCAAGAAAAAAAACATTGCCAGGAACCCAGAGGCCCTCAGATCCCCTTCCAATTATACCCCCAAAGGTAGCCACCATCCTTA